CGACCAGAACATATTTACCAAGCGGAAAAATCGCAGGGCTTGCAGTAGTTCTCCTTGCAATCACCGTTGATGATGCTGTGCTTGTAATTAATAGTCTGAAAAGAAAGCAAATTGCATTAATCAAATGTAAAACACATCAAACCAATAAATTTAAATAATTTGTTTACCATTTCACAAACTGAATTACCAAGAAATAGAAACTCACCGCGATGCGATACAGAAATAAAAACCAACAGGGCTGCATTTTCTTGGTAACCAACACAAGCGCTCAGAGCAATCTGATCCGCAATATTATTTTCTGAAAAATAAGCGTTGAAAAGAGTTTTTAAACATGATCATCACATTATCGAATTAGCGCACACTATTGTGTTTATTTTTACTAGAATATAATTGTGTTATCTCTGACTTTTTTTCAATGTTTCCTAATATTCGTTCTTTTGGTATGCAAAAGCAACCATGCGCTCAATTTATTGTGGGGAAATTTGGTCCCCATAAAGGACCACGAAACAGCTACAAAAACAAAAACCTTTTCTACTGGTATACTGTGACTGAAATGAAGTGTCAAGAAAATTTATTGTGAATTTGGTGTTAGTCGAAGAGCTGAAGGTGCTGCCGTTTCAAAATTTCTATTGCGTGCTTGAAGGACAATCTGCACTTACATGAGGCGATTTTCCTAGAGATTCGACATCGCCTGAGAATACGCCTGCGAAGTTGCTTAAAAAACAGTATTTCTACAGACAAGAATACTTAAGAACTTATTGCAAAAATTAGAAATAAGATTTTTTTATGTACCTTCTAAGGCAATAAAAATGAAAACCTTAGAAGGCAAATATCTCGAACAAATGGCGCGATAGAAGAAAACTAAGAATGCAGTTTATCTACATTTGAATACTACTTCATGGTCTGATGTATCCTTTTTGGCACATTCTTACGTTACTACAAATATTCTACCACATATTTTTAGAGATCTACCACTATTTTTATTAAAAATCTATCTCTAATTTGGTTTCTGAAGGGACAACACTGCTGCAAACATAAAAAGTATATTAAGAGTGTGAATATTATGAGGGAGAGGGTAAATATAAAAAATATGTTGTTGTGTCCTTTTCCACATCGCGAAGTTAGCTGAGAATTCACCCACAATATCATTCGGCCATTGTTTCTCAAAAGCTTGCATCGTTTCAAGCATTTTTATACCTTTCATGAGCATGAAATGGTATTATAACTGTGGTCCGATGTTTGTAAGTACCAGAATAAAAAGAGATCGACCCATTAAAATGTATACTTATATGATCAGAACGTCGAGCTGAGTCGATTTAGCCATGTCCGTCTGTCCGTCTGTCCCTCTGTTTGTATGCAATCTAGTCTCTTAGTTTTCGAGATATCCGGATAAAATTTGGTAGGTGGGTGTATTTTCATAATGTATTAATCATTTGTCGGGTCCGGAAGATTCGGACCACTATAACATATATACAACTGATTGCTCAGATATGAGATTTTTCGTTATAACTTCTCCATTTATGCGGCTAGGAAAATGAAATTTTGCAGTACTTGCACCCATTATCAACAGAATACTTACAGTGAAAATAACAAGGATCGGGTGACTATAACATATATGTATCTTCCATACATCTGATTGTTCAGATATGAGATTTTTCGTTATAACTTCTCCATTTATGCGGCTAGGAAAATGAAATTTTGCAGTACTTGCACCCAGTATCAACAGAATACGTACGTACAAAGATCGGGTAACTATAACCTATAGCTCCCATACAACTGATTGTTCAGATATGAGATTTTTCGTTATAACTTCTCCATTTATGCGGCTAGGAAAATGAAATTTTGCAGTACTTGCACCCAGTATCAACAGAATACGTACGTACAAAGATCGGGTAACTATAACCTATAGCTCCCATACAACTGATTGTTCAGATATGAGATTTTTCGCTATATCTCCTCCATTTATATAGCTAGGACCATGAAATTTTGCGCTGTTTCCACACATTATCAATATAAGACTTACAGTGAAAATAGCAAAGATCAGGTAACTATAACCTGCAGCCCCCATACAACTGATTGTTCAGATATGAGGTCTTTTATCATAACTCCTCCATTTATGCA